TGGAAACACTGCAGTTGTGAAACTGTGTTTTTTCGATATTAACAGAATATCGACAAAGTTTTGCACACATTTGTAATGGAAACACAGCTACAGAAGCTCTTTTCAGATTAAAAATACCTTTGAGGAAATGTATTTTCAGATGCCAAGTAAACTGCATAGTTTACCCCACCCCCCACCCCCATGCACCGAAATGGATGGGACAGAAGCGGAAGGTGGTTCTTAAAGAGACTGAGGCCAATTTCAAGGCGTTTAGAAGAGGAAGTGATGAGAAGATAAGTTTATTTTCTATTTAAACATAAAAACAGCATTTTAATAACAACTAAAGGTGACATAGATACTTACTATGGTATAGTATTTAAATATATGCCTGAGAAACACAGAATATTGGCCCTTTAATAATAATAAGTTTTGTTCAGACTCCAGGTGATGAAACAAACAGACGCACCTGGAGGCAGGAACTCACAGAAGCCGCTGGAGTTCACCAACACGTTGGTCTTAAAGGTGGCATCGAACTTATCGTGAGCGCTAAAGAAGCAGAGGAATAGTGTGAGAACATGAGGCAGCGGCACGCCGCTCGTGATTTAAATATCTGCGTGTCACACACACACACCTGTTGTACAGCAAAATGTCAGGGGTCCACACCTGGTCAGGGGTGAAACGCAGGTTCTTGACTCCAGGATACTCTGACTGGTTCCACTGCAGATAGTGGTCATACCACTGCTGAAGGACACAAATAACATCTTTTTGGCACAAATGGAACTCCATAACAAACATCTGGATTTGCCTTTTTGGTGTTGTAGCTGATGGTTTTCATGCTAACTACTCGTACAGAAGCATTTGTCTGGGCAATGATTTTATCCCATGTCTGTGTTTGTGCGTCTGTTAGCAAAATATCTTATTTACTACATGACTGATTTCTATAAAACTTTTATCAAGTCATCACTGGATGCACATCTACAAATGATTTACGTTCACAGTCAACTTAATTCAAAATGGCAGCAGAAGCTAATCGAACATGGAAAACGTATATGTGGTTATAATGCAGTCAGTTTTGCAAGTATTTAGCTGAAATTTGGTGCAGTAGTAGCTGAGACTTATTGTCACCAAATATTTTCATCATTAATAGATCATGTAAAATATTAATTCAAAACTTTGCTGTTAACCATTGGAGACAACTCTGTCTATCTGTTAGCAAAATATCTTATGAACCAATGGATGTATTTTAATGAATCTCCCAAAAAGTGGTCACTGAATGTGCATCTACAAGTGATTAACTTTTGGAGTCAGATCAACTCAAAATGGCTCCTACAACTGATCAACTTTAGGAAACACAAACATTAGTTTAACCCAGCCATTTGTAGAAAATACTAGTTAAAATCCGGCGTGGTAGTAGGTGAAAGTCCTTCCCAACATATGCTCCAACCACAGATGGTTACGAGATTATTTTACTAAAACTTAACCTTCGTAGTGAAGTCTGTCAGTCAATTAGCATAATATCTCATCGCTCATCAAAAAAACAACACAAATTTAGCACATTTGATGATATCAGAGAAAATGTGGGCACTGATGCACTTGAACATGTAGAAAATGTTCCAAAATCCCAGAGAAACAACTCCAGCTTTTCTGAAAGTTTTTCTTCATGCTAATTTTTCCACTTGTGTTCGGCTTTTAAGCTGAAGTTCTTCGGCTCATAAATTGTGATTTGTGATTTTTGGCAGCAGAACGAAGCAGACACATATTCATCCCTCTCTCCGGTGCTTATTAAACGCTGCGTTTGGGTAGAAGGAGGAAGCTGTCATCCTGCAGAGGCAGCCATTACTATGATAATGAATCGTAAGCAGCCTCTGGGATGATTCTGTGCTGCAAAAAGCTTTCCAGCTCACAGATCAATATCACATTATTAATGTTTTCTGTTATATTCACCATCTGCAGCCAGGCGTTCGTCGTCAGGATCTGGTTCTTTTCATCCTAGCAAGACACAAAGCGAACAAGATAATAAATGATTTTGGGATTCAGTGGATAATTTCATACTATTTCAATGCTGAACTAATAAGAAAAAAAAGCTTAATTAAATATTGTCTGCTGTGATTCTCCTTTCTGCTCACACTGCCCAATAAAATGTCACTGCAAAGTTTGTAAACTGTTGCTACTGTTTTCTGGCTTCAGATTTAAGTCATAAAAAAGGAACATTTCAAAAAAAATGTGTGAAAAGACAAACAAAATATATTTTTTTTCTGTAAATGATGGATTTTATTCCTGTAGGATGATGAGTAATTAAACAATAAAATGGTCATTTCTGTCTGCAACTGGTAAACCTTTGGAGTCAGTATGGCCAGCTGATACTAGAAAACACAAAGTTAAAGAAAAGATAAAGGTACTTTAAAGTAGATATTTATCTCAGATTAGTTGTGGTAGCTGAGAGTCATTGTCAACAGATGCTGTAAACTCTAACACATGCATAAAGATATACATCGCATATTTTACAAGGTTTGAACAAAAAACGAGCATCACCAACTCAAAGTTTGCTAACTAAAATGTAGCTTCATTATCACTAAACTGCTAAAC